AATCGCAGAAATCATACCCTGTAGAATAGACCAAGGCATAAATTTGTTCAATATAAGACGCTTAGATTCCACCATCCCTACCTGTCCGTCACAATTGAATAGCTTTGAATCGGGTATACAACTGAACTGCACCTCGAAAGCGCACAACTCTCAAAATACCTGCTCCCGGAATCAATGTACTTCCTTGATGAAATACAGTCTACCTTAATATCAGTTAAATACCATGAAGAAATACCGGTAAATCCTTCCGTTGACAACAAATTGCTACTGTACAAATTACCACTAGGTAGTAGTTCTTTGACGAGCGCATCAATGAACGTTTGTCGTAGAAAAGGCTAGAAGAGGCTTTATTAAAGTATGTTTGAGGTTAGCCGCCGATGTTTGACATTGTATAACAAAAGGCCAGTAGTTCTGTAGTTTATCTTTGTGGTTTAGAGCCGATTCCCTTTCGGTAAATCTACTACTTGTTAAATTTACTTTTCTTAATTTCATCGGTGATACTTTCCGAGAAAAATCAACTTAAAGAATTCGACGAACAGCCAATTGCAACAACACCTTGTGAGAAGTTAAAGTTAAATACCAGTAAACTTTAAGGTGGCTCAAAACAGTTTTCTGTTTTTTTTTTTTTAGACTTATAAAACTAGGTGCGATTCTTCAGGCTTGGAACTGTACTGTTTTGAATGGCTGTGCTCTTTTTTAAGGGTAACTCTCTACTGTGCTTTTCATTGTGTTTAAGTCAAAATTTAAGGCCGCACTGTTCTGTTGCCTAGCAACAAACTTGACCTACTTTTTACCATCAATTGCATCTATCTTAAAAACTAAGCCGCTGACCCTATAATTTTTTTATAAAAATATTTTTATCACACACAGAAGTTGAAACAGGCAAAATTATAATAAATTCTGTGGAGAGGATTTTTCTTAAATTGAGAAAAATGGCAATTTCCAAGTTGGAGAAATTCTACTCCACAGTTTTTTTTTACAATTTTGCACACGCATTCTGCTTTTGGTGTTGAATATTTTTATGTATTAAAAAAGTAGGGTCACCGGATCAGTTTTTGAGATATTAGCTTCGTGGATAACGTATTTTAGCGCGCGTCCTACCGCAAATCAAAATTTCGACTTTGCAGGATTGCCCATTGCGCACTCGTGAAGGCAGCCCGCTGATCAGTAAAGCCTGCAATTCCACGCGAATAACCGCGACTAGTCCGCGAATAGTGTTTTCTTTTT